GAAACTCCCTAAAAAGCACAGTTTTTAAAAAAAGTCTTAAGAGCCAAGAAAATGAAGTAAAAATATCAAATAGGTGAACATAATGTAGTTACAATAATTATAGCAAATCTACTCAACTTGTTGAGCAGATCTTAAACGTATAATTAGATTTAAATGTTTATAAAGAACAAGGCTGTCACGGAATAATTTGATTTTTAAAAGATCAGATAAAACAGAAAGGCAGGCAAAAGGAAAATCTGGCTGGGCACAGTGGCTCACGTCTGTAATCCCAACACTTTGGGAAGCCAAGGCAGGCAGATCACCTGAGGTCAGGAGTTTGAGACCAGATTGACCAACATGGTAAAACCCTGTCTCTACTAAAAACACAAAAATTAGCCAGGCATGGTGGCAGGTGTCTGTACTACCAGCTACTTGGGAGGCTGACGCAGGAGAATCACTTGAACCTGGAGGTGGAGGTTGCAGTGAGCTGAGATCCTGCCACTGCACTCCAGCCTGGGCAACAGAGCAAGACTCTGTCTCAAAAAAAAGAGAGAAAATGTATATAACTCTCAGTTTCTTAAGACACACAAATATATATATATATACACACACACACACACACACACACACACGCACACCCACGGTCATGTGTTACTTAACCATGGAGAATACATTCCAAGTAAAGCGTTAGGCAATTTCATCACTGTGTGCGCATCATCAAGTGTACTTACCACAAACCTAGATGGTATGGCTACTACACACCTAGGCTATATGGTGCAGCTGATTCCTCCTAGGCCGCAAACCTGTGCACCATGTTACTGTACTAAATACTGTAGGCAGTGGTCACACAATGGTATTTGCGTATCTAAACATATCTAAAAACAGAAAAAGTGCAGTAAAAATATGGTGTTATAATCTATTTATTTATTTATTTTTGAGATGGAGTCTCACTCTGCTGCCCAGGCTGGAGTGCAGTGGCATGATCTCCCCTCACTGCAACCTCCGCCTCCCAGGTTCAAGTGATTCTCCTGCCTCAACCTCCCGAGTAGCTGGGATTATAGGCGTGCGCCACCACACCAAGCTAATTTTTGTATTTTTAGTAGAGATGGGGTTTCACCATGTTGGCCAGGCTGGTCTCAAACTTCTAACCTCAGGTGATCCGCCCACCTCGGCCTCCCAAAGTGCTGGGATTACAGGCGTGAGGCACTGCGCCCGGCCTATGGTGTTATAATATTATGGGACCACTGTTGTATATATGGTTTGTGGTTCATGGAAATGTTGTTATATGGTGCATGCCACTATATACACGCACACACACAAGCACACACACATGCACACACAGGTGCACACACTCACACACACATGCACATATAAGTATATAGCTCTATATATGTATATACACATATATGGGCATATGTGTGTATATATGTATGTGTATATGTATAGTATACACAATTTGCCCCATGAAGGAGGCACTGATGAATACGGAGGCATTCCTGATTATTCAGGTGGTGTGGGCAAGGGAAAGTAGAGTACTAACTGCTGATGATTGAAAAGAGGTTTGAGGTGCTCTTGCCAACTAACAAGATATTTTTTGCCCGAATAACTAGAATGAGTAGCGCATTCACAATACATGGTATTAATGTGGTTTGAAAGCAGTGTGAGTACGTCATAGCAGTGGGGGACGTGGCATGCAGTCTCTATTGTTTTGTGTCTCTGTGGTAAACTCTTCTCAGTAGATACTGAATAATCAGGGTGAGATTATTAACCCCTTCTTCATCTCTGTGAAATTAACCCCACAGCACTGCAGTTTACCAGTACAAACCTTACTGTAGAGTTGTTTACAGGATTGTGAATAAATTCATCGGGTTCTAATTTGCAAGTCGAACTCTACAATTTTCAATCTTTTTGCCTTGAATTTACTTTGAAAACAGTCTGTTCCCGAGTTATGATAAAGGAAGGGAGAAGTGTATTTTCACCCTCAAACTGATGGAATAACTGTTTAAATGAAACACCCATATTCCACTTAGAAACTGTAGCATTGACCACTTTCCTGTTCTTACACCTTCTAATTCTTAAGTGGGAGTTGTGGGGACTTTAACAGCTGCACATTTCCAACACAGTCCTCCCTAAATGGTGTCAAATGACTGGGAATGAAGTTTTGGTAACTCTGGATGATTTATGCAGCCACTTAGTCATCGTTGTTCCGTCAGGGGAAACAATGAGAGGCTTTTGTTTGTGTTTCTGTGTGTAGGGTGTGAGGGACAAAGAGAAGCAAATATTCATATAACGAAACTCTGGTCCTCTTTTTTTCCTCTCAACAGAGGTCTTTATCTTTAAATTACTATAAATATAACGTAAAAATAGAATATATACTCCTTTGTGGCTCTTTCCACATTGTTTTCATGTATTTGCCCAGAAAGCTGCTTTTTTTCCTTCTCTCTCTCTCTCTTTTTTTTTAATTAATTTTTTTTGAGACGGAGTCTCTCTTGCTCTGTTGCCCAGGCTGGAGTGTAGTGGTGTGATCTAGGCTCACTGCAACCTCCACCTCCTGGGTTCAAGAAATTCTCCTGCCTCAGCCTGCTGAGTAGCTGGGATTATAGTGCGCGCCACCATGCCCGACTAATTTTTGGATTTTTAATAGAGACGGGGTTTCCCCACGTTGATCAGGCTGGTCTTGAACTCCTGACCTTGTGATCCACCCGCCTCGGCCTTCCAAAGTGCTGGGATTATAGGCGTCGGCCACCGCACCTGGCCCCTTCTCTGTTTTTCAAAAAAAAAGTAATGCATGAATACATTCTAACCATAAAATAATCAAACATTATGGAAGTACGCAGAATAAAAAACCAGTCTCCCTTCATTGCCCTTACCCAACCTCCACCCCCACCATCCAGGCCCTACAAAAAAGATCCTTTTTTCAAGAAAATAAAACCTCCATTGCCCTGGTTTTGGGCAGTTTCATAAGAACAGAAGACATATTGCAAGTAACAGGAAAATTCTAAAATATGGAAAATCAGAAATCACTGCAAATGGACCCCACTGTGGAGCATACCCCAGGCAAGTGCCAGGGAAAATTGTGGCAGTGTTTGAATGCAGGTCGAGGTAGCTCCTCTGAAGAAAAGGCACGTGGAGCCAAAAATATCTGGGTTTGCTTCTTTCTGCCTCTGCCACTAGCTAGCCAAGTATCCTTGGGCAACTTTAGTTTCCCTAGCCATAAGGTAGACATGGTCACAGAGGCATGAAATGAGATTGTGTGTGCAAAACACCTGTCAAATGCCTGAATACTAGGTCTTCAGCAAATATTACTTTTCCTCTGACCTCAGAAGAACTTTGCTGCATGTAAAGCACCTAACAGTTTATTCCTGGTAAAGTTCTAGTTATTTCTGGATGTTTGTGGGGAAATGATAATCCTATTTTGTACACTGGTTATAAAAGGTGAAAAAGAGCATGGTTTGCTGTCCTGCCAGATTGCGCAGAGCATGTCAGTGTTTTGCAGGGTTAATTAAAGGCTGATGTGAAAATAGGTCTCCACTGCATTTGAGTTCAGGCAATGAATGTGGATTCAGACAAGAGTGTTGAGGATTAAGAAAGCCTGGTGGCCGGGCGCGGTGGCTCACGCCTGTAATCCCTGCACTTTGGGAGGCCGAGGCGGGAGGATCACGAGGTCAGGAGATCTAGACCATCCTGGCTAACACAGTGAAACCTCGTCTCCACTAAAAATACAAAAAATTATCCGGGTGCAGTGGTGGGCGCCTGAAGTCCCAGCTACTCGGGAGGCTGAGGCAGGAGAATGACGTGAACCCGGGAGGCGGAGCTTGCAGTGAGCTGAGATCGCGCCACTGCACTCCAGCCTGGGCAACAAAGTGAGACTCCGCCTCAAAAAAAAAAAAAAGAAAAGAAAAGAAAAGAAATCCTGGTAGGCCAGATGTGGTGGCTCACGCCTGTAATCCCATGCTTTGGGAAGCCAAGGTGGGTGGATCGCTTGAGCTCAGGAGTTCAAGACCAGCCAGGGTAACATAGGGAAACCACTCCCCTGCCCAGTCTCTACATTTTAAAAAAATTAGCCAGGTGCGCTAGCGTGCACCTGTATTCCCAGCTACTCAGGAGGCTGAGGTGGGAGGATTACCTGGGGTTGCAGTGAGCTATTATTGTGCCACTGCACTCGAACCTGGGTAACAGAGCAAGGCCCTGTCTCAAAAATAAAAATTAATAAAAGAAATCCTGGCCAGGCACCGTGGCTCATACCTGTAATCCCAGCACTTTGGGAGGCCAAAGTGGGCAGACCACCTGAGGTCAGGAGTTCGAGACCAGCCTGGCTAATATGGTGAAACCCTGTCTCTACTAAAAATACAAAAATCAGCTGGGAGGCCGGGCGCGGTGGCTCAAGCCTGTAATCCCAGCACTTTGGGAGGCCAAGGCGGGTGGATCACGAGGTCAGGAGATCGAGACCATCCCTGGCTAACATGGTGAAACCCCGTCTCTACTAAAAATACAAAAAACTAGCCGGGCGTGGTGGCGGGCGCCTATAGTCCCAGCTACTCGGAGGCTGAGGCAGGAGAATGGCGTGAACCCAGGAGGCGGAGCTTGCAGTGAGCCGAGATTGCGCCACTGCACCCCAGCCTGGGCGACACAGCGAGACTCTGTCTCAAAAAAAAAAAAAAAAAAAAAAAATCAGCTGGGTGTGGTGGCATGCGCTTGTAGTCCCAGCTATTCGGGAGGCTGAGGCAGGAGAAGCGCTTGACTTGGGAGGCAGAAGCTGCAGTGAGCCGAGATCACACCACTGCACTCCAGCCTGGGCAACAGAGAAAACAAAAAAAAAAAAAAAAAGAAAGAAAGAAAGAAAGAAAGAAAGAAAGAAAGAAAGAAAGAAAGAAAGAAAGAAAGAAAGAAAGAAAGAAAGAAATCCTGATAATCATGGATATATTATCTCCCAGAAACCTGTATCACTAGGTGACTCATTAAAAGAACAAATGTAATAATGGGGAACACTGATACAAGAACATCAGATTCTCATTATTATTTTAAATACGGAACATTTCACAAATGTGCATGTCAGCTTGGGCAGGGTCAGTGCTAATCTCTGTATTGTTCCAATTTTTAGTATACATGCTGTTAAAGTGAGCATGGATTATTGCTTTTAATAAACTATTTTCTTTTCTTTTTGTTTTTCTTTTTTTCTGAGGCAGAGTTTCACTCTGTCACCCAGACTGGCATGCAGTGGCGCGATCTTGACTCACTGCAACCTCTGCCTCCTGGGCTCAAGTGATCTTCCAGCCTCACCCTCCTGAGTAGCTCGGACTACAGGCACAAGACACCATGCTTGGCTAATTTTTGTATATTTTTTTAGTAAGGACAGGGTTTTGCCGTGTTACCCAGGCTGGTTCCTAACTCCTGAACTCAAAGCAAATCTGCCTGCCTTGTCCTCCCAAAGTTCTGGGATTACAGATGTGAGCTACCATTAATAGACTATTGTCTGGAGCAGTTCTAGGTTCATAGCAATATTAAGTTGAAAGTACAGAGATGGCCAGGTGCGGTGGCTCATGCCTCGGCTGGTAGATCACTTAAGGTCAGGAGTTCGAGACCAGTCTGGCCAACACAGTGAAACCCCATCTCTACTAAAAATACAAAAATTAGCCAGCTGTGGTGGTTCACGCCTGTAATCCCAGCTACTCAGGAGGCTGAAGCAGGAGAATCACTTGAACCCAGGAAGTGGAGGTTGCAGTGAGCTGAGATTGTGCCATTGCACCCCAGCCTGGACAACAAAGTGAGACCCTGTCACACACACACACACAAAGAAGTACAGAGATAACCCATATACTCCTTTCCTAGACATACATGCATAGCCCTCCCCACTAGCAACATCCTGCACCAAAGCAGTACCTTTGTTACAATTGATGAACCTATATTGACACGTCATTATCATAAACTATGAAAGTTCATACTTTACATTAGGATTTAGGCCAGGTACAGTGGTTCATGCCTGTAATTCCAGCACTTTGGTAGGCGGATGGGGGTGGATCACCTGAGGTCAGGAGTTTGAGACCAGCCTGGCCAACATGGTGAAACCCTGTCTCTACTAAAATAAATAAATAAATAAATAAATTAGCCCATTGTGGTGGCAGGTGCCTGTAATCCCAAGTACTTGGGAGACTAAGAGGTAATAGGTATGTGGTCCTATCTCAATGTTGTTTTAACTTGCGTATCACTAGGAGAATCACTTGAACCTGGGAGGTGGAGGTTGCAATGAGCCGAGATCGCACCACTGTACTCCAGCCTGGGTGACAGAGCAAGACTCTGTCTCAAAAAAAAAAAAAAAATTAACTCTTAGTTTTGTACATTCTATAGGTTTTAACAAATGTATAATGACATGTATTCATGTATTCATCATCATAGTATCATACAGTGTAGTTTCACTGCCCTAAAACCCTCTAGGCTCTGACTATTCATCCCTTATTTTTCCCCAACCCCTGTATGTCTGGTTTTTCCTTTTGTCTTTTTAATTTTTAAAAAAATTTTAATTTATTTTTAGTATTGAAACATTTTCGGCCGGGCGCAGTGGCTCACGCCTATAATCACAACACTTTGGGAGGCTGAGATGGGTGGATCACCTGAGGTCAGGGGTTCAAGACCAGCCTGACCAACATGGTGAAACACTGTCTCTACTAAGAATACAAAATTAGAAACATTAGCCAGGCATGGTCTCGGGCACCTGTAATCCCAGCTACTTGGGAGTCTGAGGCAAGAGAATCCCTTGAACCCGGGGGGCGGAGGTTGCAGTGAGCCGAGACCGTGCCATTGCACTCCAGCCTGGGCAACAAGAGCGAAACTCCATCTGAAAAAAAAAAAAAATTATTTTTTCTTTCTTTCTTTCTTTTGTTTTTTTTAGAGACAGTCTCACTAGGTTGCCCAGGCTGATCTCAAACTCCTGGGCCTAAGTGATCCTCCTGCCTCAGCCTACCAAGTAGCTGGGACTATAGGCACACACTACTATGCCTGGCCGCCTTTTCTAGAATGTCATATAATTGGAAACATACAATAGGTAGCCTTTTCAGATTGGCTTCTTTCACTTAGTAATATGTATTTAAGTTGCCTCCATGTCTTTTCATGGCTTGATAACTCATTTATTTTCAGCGCTGAATAGTAAGTATTCCATTATCTGGATGTACCACAGTTTATCCATTCACCTACTGAGGATGTTTTCATATTGCTTCCATGTTTTGATCATTATGGACAAAGCTGCTATAAACATTGATGTGCAGGTTTTTGTGGGGACGTAAGTGTTCAACTTATTTGGTAAATACCTACAAATACAATTGCTGTATCTTGTGGTAAGATGTTTAGTTTTGTAAGAAACAGCCAAACTGTTTTCCAAAGGGGCTGTATCATTTGGCATTCCCAACATCAATGAATGAGAGTTCCTGTTGTTCCACATCCTCACCAGCATTTGGTGTTGTCAGTGTTGTGAATTTTTGTCATTCTAATAGGTATATGGTCCTATCTCATTGTTGTTTTAATTTGCATATCCCTAGTGACATATGAAAATCTTTTCATATGCTTATTTGCCATCTGTATATTTTCTTTGGTGAGTTTGTTCTGATCTTTTGCCCATTATTTAATTAGGTTATTTTTCTTATTCTTGTGTTTTAAGAGGTCTTTATATATTTTTGAATAACAGTCATTTATTAGATAAGTCTTTTGCAAATATTTTTCCCAGTCTGTGGCTCATCTTCTTATTCTCTTGAAATTATTTTAAAATTATTTGTAAATGTTGATTAACATGGCTATTTGGGAGTTCAGAAGCCTCAGTTTTCATTACCAAGAAAATGTTCTACAGTCATTCAACAGGCGAGCTCATAATAAGCTGAAAGTATCGGCCAGGCAGGGTGGCTCACACCTGTTAATCCCCGCACTTTGGGAGGCAGAGGCGGGTGGATCACTTGAGGTCAGGAGTCCGAAACCAGCCTGGCCAACATGGAGAAACCCTGTCTCTACTAAGAATACAAAAATTAGCTGGGCGTGGGGGCGGGCGCCGGTAATGCCAGCTGCTCGGGTGGCTGAGGCAGGAGAATTGCTTGAACCTAGGAGGCGGAGATGGCACTCCAGCCTGGGCGACAGAGCGAGACTCAGTCTAATAATAATAATAATAATAATAATAATAATATAATAATAGTAATAGTAATAATAAACTGAAAGTACCTTTCTGGAGATAAAGATTCAGGCACTGATCCCCGACTTCTGGAGGGATCAACTTGCATTTTCTGCAGTCTATAAAGCCTAGAGTGCCCTCTGCTGGTTACCTTCTGAAAACCAGGCAGTCGATGATTTCAACTTATTTATTTTTGAAATAACATCATAAATAATAACCCTTAATCTCCTGTGATTTCTTTCTCAAGTGACCTTCTGAAGGCTTATCTCAAAGAGAGAAAAATGACTATTCTTTTTTGTTTGTTTGTTTGTTTGTTTTTGTTTTGAGACAGAGTCTCGCTCTGTCGCCCAGACTGGAGTGCAGTGGCGCGATCTCGGCTCACTGCAAGCTCCACCTCCCAGGTTCACGCCATTCTCCTGCCTCAGCCTCCCGAGTAGCTGGGACTACAGGCGCCCGCCACCACGCCCGGCTAATTTTTTTATTTTATTTATTTATTTGTATTTTAGTAGAGACGGGGTTTCACCGTGTTAGCCAGGATGGTCTCGATCTCATGACCTCGTGATCTGCCTGTCTCGGCCTCCCAAAGTGCTGGGATTACAGGCGTGAGCCACCGCGCCCGGCCGAAACATCACTATTCTTTAGTTACAACTTGATTCCTTAGTCAGAAGTGTGTCTTATTCCACCCTACCAGCCTGTGGAAAAAGAAAAAGAAAAAAAAGTGTGTCTGTTACATCTGCAGCATGTGTAGAATTTTTTTAAGTGTGTCTAAGATACATTTTATCTTATTTTATTTTATTTACTTTTTAGAGACAGAGACTTGCTTTGTTGCCCAGGATGGTGTGCAGTGGTGCAATCATAGCTCACTACAGCCTCCATCTCCTGGACTAAAGGTATCCTCCCACCTAACCCTCCCAAAATCCTAGGAATACAGGTGTGAGCCACTGTGCCTGGCCAGATACCATTTGAAATGTGATAAGTATGTCTGTTGGTTCCCAAAATCTAAAGTAATTAGCATTTTAGAAGAATAAATTAAAGTAGCTCAGCCCAGGTATGGTGGCTCACACCTGTAATCCCAGTGCTTTGGAAGGCAGAGGTAGGAGGATCGCTTGAGGCCAGGAGTCCAAGACCAGTCTGGGCAACATAGTGATACCTCGTGTCTACTAAAAATTTAAAAATTAACCGGTTTGGCTCTGTGTCCCCACCCAAATCTCATCCCCTTGTGTAATCTCCATGTGTCGAGGAAGGGAGGTGATTGGATCAAAGGGGCGGTTTCCCCCATGCTCTTCTTGTGATAATGAGTTCTCAAGAGATCTGATGATTTTCTAAGTGTTTGGAAGTTCCTTTTCCTTCTCTCTCCTGCCACATTATGAAGAAGGTACCTTATTTCCCCTTCGCCTTCTGCCATGCTTGTAAGTTTCTTGAGGCTTCCCCAGCCATGCAGAACTCTGAGTAAATTAAACTTATTTCCTTTATAAATTACCCAGCCTTGGGTACTATCTTTATAGCAGTGTGAAAACAGACTAGTACATACACACATTAGCCAGGCACAGTGGCTTGCCCCTGTAATCTCAGCTACTTGGGAGGCCAAGGCAGGAGGATTGCTTGAAGCTAGTTCAAGGTCAGCCTGGGCAATATAGCAAGACCCCCATCTCTAAAAAATTAAACACACACACACACACACACACACACACACACACACACAAATGTCCCACATTTGTGTGTCCCATCATGGGACATGGGAATGAGTGATGTGACTCATTCAAGAAATTTTTGTTTTGTTTTGTTTTCGGGTTTTTTTAATTGCTTATTTTATTTATTACTATTATTTTTTGACAGGGTCTCACTCCTGTTGCCCAGGCTGGAGTGCAGTGGTGCAATTATGGCTCACTGCAACCTTGACTTCCTGGGCTCAGGTGATTCTGCCACGTCTGCCTCTCACGTAGCTGGAAACACAGGTGCACACAACTACCCTTGGCTAA